ACCTCCAATTCCACCAAATCCTTTCACAAATTGGGATCCTTCTTGTGACTTATCTGTGACAATTTCCAATGTAGCTCCAAATTTTTTGTAGTTGTTGGCAAACCATTCCAGTAGGGGCATGCTTTCAATCAGCTCATGTTCCTGTCCTGTCTACAGAGGGTGTCCACAAAACATAGACAATGGAACAAGGAGAAATTAAGACCAATCTCTTCTAAGTCACTTCCCACTCCAGCCACGGTCCTCATTCTCAGTGTGTGTGCGTACACTTAAAAATCGGTTTATTCTGATTTCAAGCAATACTCCTCTTAAAGCTCTAGCCTCAGTTATGAAATGCCAGCACATACTGAGCAGATTTTCAGCTTCAGATTTGTTGTTGACTCTGGAGGTCAGACTGTAGCAGCACTTACTCAACAGCCTGACCCTCCAACTCAGGTCTTGAGGAACCTAGAGGGGATCTCCACCTGCCAGGGAACCCTTTTAAGCGTGGATGACGCCTTCAGATCAAACCTGGAGCAGCCAGGTTTTTAGCTATTAGTGGAAGAGATTTCAGAAAAGGAGGTGCCTTCCTCTTCATTATTTAAAGGATGAGGTTTGCTTAACCACTTTAAAAAAAAAAAAAAAAAAAAGGGACTGCAGTAACCATGAAGCCCCGATTTATTACCAGTGACCCCCAACAAGTATGCTGTTTAGCCTACGCTGCTAGAACTCAAAACATGTAGATTTAGGATCACCTGAATGTAGCCCCAAACAAGAAAAAAATCACATACCTCTTTATCTGTGAAATGAGATTTATCCTTCTCTTGTTCTGGAGTTAGATAGAGAATTTTCTCCTCTGGTATTGGGATGGGGAGACAGGGAGAAAAGAAATCATGTTAACTTGGTTCTCACATAATCACAGATTAGCTTAGGGAGAAGGCTCATGAACTCATTCTATAAGCCTTCTTTCATAAACATGTTGGTCAGCACGCATGGAGGTACTCGGCTCCACTCTCAAGAAAACATCAAAGTCATCAATACTATCCTGGTCTTCAAGAAATGTAACTATCTCAGGCATTCATTCCTCAAGTATTTGAAAATGACACCATGTGTGGTAAAGCAGAGGGTCAGTGCACAGGCGGGAGACCCTTCAAAAGATGAAGGATGCAACAATGGGCTCAAACACTACAAAAACCAGGAAGAGGGCGCAGGACAGGCCAAGGTGTCCTTCTGTTGTGTCAGGCTGCCTTGAGTTGGAGCCTACTCCACAACAACTGACAAATCTACAGACTACTGGGGGATGATGGGTGGGCTCTACCTTCTGATTGGTCACGAAATCTGCCACCCACTCCCTTGGGCCCCTTCTCTACCCTAGGCTTTCCTGAATGTACAAGTCAGTGACAAATAACAACCCTATTTTCTCATTCTCATACCTTCGGTGCCTTGGCAATGAAGAACATATCTCATTATATCCAGATTTTCATAGACTATTAGAATCTCTACAGCTCCCATTTCCAAAGCCTTTAGTGTATCTTCAACTCCAAAACAGTACTTGCCCGTGTCCTGGCTGATTTCATCAAAGTATCGTCCT